TCAAATTCTATATTGTCAGTTAACTTCCCTTAGTATTGAAGATACTTCCTTGGCTTTTGGTTTTCATTGTTGTGTTTACCAGTCAATATTATCTAACTATTTTTTTTTGAAATCTGTTTGCCTCTACCCCAATTTTTTCTCTCCTTCTGATTTCTCAGTTCTTGGTGTTTTTTTTTACTGTATTATTCTTTAGTCATATTTTCAACTCTTTTTATTTTTCTCAAGTCTTTGAGGGTCTTATTCTGCTGTCCTACCTGCTGGTTTTTACTTTTGATGTTACTTCTTTGGATGTTTTCTGATTTCTGTCTATAACTCCTAATTCTTGGAACTGTGGGAATGTTTTGAGGCCTAGGAAGAAAATTGATTCTTCTAGAGGTTACTTGCTTTTGCTTCTACCAGGCACCTGTTTTCTGCACAACACAACTCTAGAACCCTGTGAAAAAAATTCTCAGCCCACATTGTGTGAATTAGGGCTGAAAATCATGTGAGGGCTCATTTGGGGGGGAGGGGGTTTATGAAATCTCAAGGGAGTATCTTCTATTTTCTCCTACTCAGTAACGGGGTTCAAGACAGGTAATTTCCCTTGCATTCTCCTGGGAGTACAGGTGTATTTCTAATTCAGGGTACCAGTGGGTTTGTAGTGGTTTGGGATTTCAGCTTTGTGGAGGGAGGGATCTCAGACTCCTCACCTTTAGATCCGGGGTTTTTCCTCCTATTTTCTCCCCACACTAATCAACCCCATGAAGTTGTGAAGCTTAGGGTCATTTGGTTTAACAACTGTCCTCAACTTACTCCCTTTGAGATACTGTCTTCATTTATTTTAGCCCGAACAGAATAGTCCTTACTGTTGTCTTGCTGGTTTATTGATTTAAGATACATTTCTCCTCCCATTTTTATCCAACATTTTTAGTTGTTTTCTATGAGGAGGCCAATCATTCCCTCCCTGTGCTGGACATGAAAGCCTTGATTGCCTTTTGAGCCTCCCTATCACACAGCATTCTCATGGTATTTTTATGCTAACAATACCAAATGGAAAGTCACAATCATTTGATTGTTAAAGGCTATAATTTTAACTACCAGTAAAGAAAACTTTAAGTCTAGTTAGAAATGATAGAAAGCTAACTTTAAGAAATATTTAACATAAAAATATGAATGGAATTTTGGTATTTTTAGCCACAAAAAAGAGGAATTGGAGGAAGTAAACCAATTAGAATATCTATTTTACTTTTTTTTTTTTTTAACCGAATAGAAAGCTCAGGACATGATATTAACAAAACTAGAAACTTAGGGGTACCTGGGTGGCTCAGTTGGTTAAATATCTGACTCTTGATCTCAGCTCAGGTCTTGATCTCAGGGTCGTGAGTTCAGGCCCCACCTTGAGCTCTACACTGGGCAAGATGCCTAAAAAAAACTAGAAACTTAGAGTTTTTACTTCTTTTTTCTTTTTTTTTTTTTAACTTTAAGTAGGCTCCCACACCCAATGTGGGACTCATGACCCTGGGATCAAGAGTCACATGCTCCACCAACTGAGCCAGCCAGGTGCCCCTAGAAACTTAAAATTTTTAAAAAGCTAGTATGGTACTGCAGTGACTACTATATTAGAGTATTTGTATGATTTTAAAAAATACATCATAATACTTATTTAATTATTAACAATTTGGGGCACAAAGTACAGAAAACACTGACAGAAAATACATTTTTGAGGGGGAACCCTTAATAGTCAGCTTCTTATTACAACTTGGGATAAGCTGTAGTTATTTCTGCAGCCTCGGTTTTATTTTTTTGTTTTTTAAAGATTTTGTTTATTAGAGACAGACAGACATAGCGAGAGAGAGCACAGGTAGGGAGGAGAGGGAGAAGCAGGCTCCCCACTGAGCAGGGAGCCCAACCTGGGGCTCGATCCCAAGACCCTGGGATCATGCCCCGATCTTAAGGCAGGCGCTTAACTGACTGAGCCACCCAGGCGCCCCTGCGGCCTTAGTTTTAATACCAGAAGTCTCCCTAAGGGCTTGGAGAGCTCAGTCTACTTTTTGATCTCTTGAAGCCTGAATTCAGTAACAATATGTGTTATGTTTGTGTTTTTGGTTTCTGGTAGGATGATGAAATACTAGAACACTGTTTTCAGTTTATGTTGAAAGGTTATTTTCTGTGGTTGTGCCTAAGGTGGTACCTCTGAAATGTTGTCAGTTAAAATACCTTACCGACAATCAGAAGTTCTCCGTACTAATTAAGGGTATGAGTACAAGAAAGAAAGGGCTACATAAAGAGGGGTTTGAGAAGGTCTTCAAGGTCATTGTAGCTACTGCTTTGCTGAGAAGGGGAGAAGACCGAAAATACATTGTTCCTATTATGCTTTCATATTCAGTTGTAGGTTTAAAATAGGAGGCCTGGGTTTATTATAACCTTGTCCATAGCAAAATTATTTGAGAATTAGACCATGTAAATTACAGGTAGAAATCTGGGGAGGGGGATGTGAGATATATGATTTATATCATACACCATAACACATTCTAAATGGTTTCAGTAGTTAAGTGGAAAAAATAAAACTATTAGGCTAAATTGCAGGAAAACATTCGTGTATTATTAGGGTGAGAAAGGGAGTTCTCTGCACTCAAGACAAAAACCTTAAGGCTAATGATAAACTATGAAAAAGAAAAGCCACTGCATATGAAGAGTTAATGCTCTTAACCCATAAAGAATTCCTAAAGTCCATAAGAAACAAAATAGTGCAATAGAAGAAACAGGCAACTGCCATGAGCAAGCAAATTTTAAAATAATTTAAAAGTATAAGAGGGGCGCCTGGGTGGTCAGTCGTTAAGCGTCTGCCTTCGGCTCAGGTCATGAGCCCAGGGTCCTGGGATCGAGCCCCGCATCGGGCTCTCTGCTCAGTGGGGAGCCTGCTTCTCCCTCTCCCACTCCCCCTGCTTGTGTTCCCTCTCTCGCTGTCTCTCTCTCTGAAATAAATAAAATCTTTAAAAAAAAAATAAAAGTATAAGAAAAAGGTTCAGTTTTATAGTCAAAGAAAGGTAAATTATAACCAAATGATATGGAAAATACATCAAATTGGTAAAGCTTTTCAAATAAAATAACCCAGTGTTGGTTGATTGTGGATAATGGATTTTCATATAATTGTTGGTAGTGTTATGATTTGGAGCAATTTTCCTGGAGAGTAATTTGGTGACCTAACAAGTTTATTCTTAGGAGTTTATTCCAAGAAAATAATTAAATATGTGTGCAAAGATACACAGTTAAGAATGTTCCTTGCAGCTTATTTTGTAATACATGAAAAAGTGGGGGTAGTTTAATGTTCAGAGTGAGGTTGATTTAAATAATACATTGCTCTTTCCTACAGTGGAATATTATATGTCTAGGTAGTAAAAATGATACCGTAAAGAATATTTAAACTCATTTATCAATCAACAAATATTTATTGAATATCCAACCCATGCCAGACGCTGATGTAAACAAGCCAAGTTTCTGCCTTAACACATGGTAAAAGCAAAAAATACAGCATACATAAGTGAAAAAAGGTGATTACAAATCTGTATTCACGTACATGTTTGTATGTACACAGATATTAGAGTAATATGTATTAAAATATTAATAGATGGGGTGCCTGGGTGACTCAGTTGGTTAAGCGTCTGCCTTCAGCTCAGGTTATGATCCCTGGGTCCTGGGATCTAGCCCCGCATGGGGCTCCCTGCTCTGTGCTTTTCCTTCTGCCTCTGCCCGACCCCCCACCTCCCCGTCTCTCATGAAGAAATAAATAAAATCTTAAAAAATAAATAAAATACTAATAGATGGAAGGTTTGCATTCTGCATTGCAACCATTCTGCATTGCATTAATAGACAGAAGGTTGCATTTCTTCTATTGCTTCTCCGTATTTTTGAAAATTCTAAATACATAACATTTTTGTGAACAAATTGGGATGCCCGGGTAGGGAGGAAGTAAATACCTGCTTTTTTATGAAAGGAAAACAAGAACTAAGAACAACTTTGTGCCAGGTGTGTCTCATTTATTTCTTGTTAGTCCCTTGAGGTAGTTCCCATTTTGATTATCCTGTTTTTGCCTCTGAGAACACTGAGGCTCTGAGAAGTTTTTACATGCCCAGAGTCACACAGATGGTAAGTGATGGAGCCGGACTCACCTTAGATCTGTCTGCCATCACATCCCATTCTCTTTGCTGTCAGTCATGTCTGCAATGAGTGTTTCTTGCTTTTTAAAAAAGTTTGATGTACTACTTGGCAATTCCCTACATCTATTTAAATTGGCAAAATTATGTGGAAAAACCTTTTCTGATTAATTATTAAACAATTACAGATTTTGAATTTAGGATATTATTTGCTATTTTAAATTTCAGTACAAGGTGTTTTGTCAAGTAGCAACTCTGTATTGGCATTATTTAACACTTAGATAAAAGAGTGGAATTAGGTGAATTTTAGAGAATTAGTGATTCTAATTCCAATTAGTGATTTCCTTTATGGCCCTAATCTGTGACAACTCTGTTTTTTTACTAAGTAATTTGATAAATATTTAACTCAAATCATCAAATTTTTATTCCTTCCTAAGAATTTTGATACCCGTTCACATTAAAAAAAAATCAGAGCATGTATACTCACTTTTAGTTAGGGAAATATTATCAACAAATCATATCAAATTCTTGGCTTTTCATAAAAATGAGACACAGAACATTTTTTACTTTATTTTGCTTATTTTCTATAAACTCATGCCTAAACAAAAATAAATTAAGCATATAAATACATAAAACCAAGGTGACTATTTTGATTAATTTGAGTTCTGAGAGATGGCAGGTGATGTGATTTTCTTCCGAAATTAGGCCTTAGGACTAATAAGGAATAAAGAAGAACCCATCCTGATTTTTATAAACTATGATCTCATTATATAGTGATGTGACATTTTTATATCCTTAAGTGAAACATTTTTCTTATTGATGAAATAAAGATGTTTATAATTTTTAAACTTTGTTTTGGATACACAGCTCACTGTTAATGAAGCGGCTGCTCAGCTCTGTGTGAAGGATAATGCCCTGCTGACAAGAAGAGATGAACTGTTCGCTCTGGCTAGGCAGATTTCTCGAGAAGTCACCTACAAATACACCTACAGAACCACCAAGTAAGTGTGTAACTAATTGACAGGATTTTGCATTGCTTGATAGAAGTAGAACTTAAAACACTACCCACTGATAGAATATAAGCATTTTTCAAAAAGTAGAAGTGTGATGTGATTGTGGTTCTATAAAATTAAAGAGTGAAGTGACTTTTCAAAACATTGCTAATGTGGTTTTTGTTGTTTTAATTCTCTTTTGTCTTTCTTTTGAAAGATAGTTCCCTAGCACTGTAGCATTGTTCTGGTAGTGGTTTTAGACATTCTTCTCACACAGATGCTTTGGTTTTGAGTGTGATGATGAGATTTAGTTAGTCAGCATGTATAGACTTATTTGTATACCCACTAACTATATGAACTTGTTGAACTCTTGGAGGAAGCAAAGTGGTTCCTTTTGCAAGGTGTTTGCAGTCTAATGAGATTAGTTGACTAGATGAAAAGACTCCATTGGCCAGTATTTAAGGGAAAATTGGAAGATGCCAGACTATATGGAATATGGGCATGTGTTTGAAATATGAAAGTGGAATATGGAATATTTGAAGTAAAACACATGTTGAAAAGCAGTGGTGGTTTTAAAATTTAATATAAACACATCTTATTATTATTCATCTCATCCTCACTTATATCCTAAGCAAGATGGCATAGTACTATTTCAGTTTTAGTCACTTGTTCCCCGTGGACCCCAATTTCTAGTTCACCATCAGTTGTGTGCCGCTGCTTCTCTGAGTAGATGAGCATGACCCCTGGCGTTAGAGTAATTGAATGTGTGTTGAAAAACCACATCCTGAGCACCCTCCCTGGCCCTAATAAGTACAGTTTCGGGGGATGGAGTCTTGGAATCCAAATTTTCACAAGTGGTCCAGATTATTCTTGTGCCTATTCAGGTTTGAAAAGCCACTGTTGAGGCATTTACTGTCATTATGTCCCCTTACTCATAGCAGCTTCCTTTGCTACCTTGCCTCAAGAGCCCACATATTTACAAACTGACACAAAGTAAAATTATGCAGACTAAATGAACAGGCTAAAAATATTATAGAATTATTTATAAGATTTTTTTTAAGTTGGATAATCGAGAGCTGATGTAGTGATTTTTTTATTTTTTTCACTGTATTACACAAAATTTTTGGACTGCTTTATTTAAGTAATTTAATCAAAGTAATACATGCACAGGATTTAAGGAACCCTATAGTGCACAGGGCTTATACTGAAAACTCAGCAGTTTCCCTGCCCCACCCCTGCCCCCTTCTGAATACCACACCCCAGAGGCAACTGCTTTCAACAGTTTTTAGCTCTTTCTTGTAGTGTTTACATTTATATACTTTTTAAGTTAAATATATTTTTAAATAGGGGTGCCTTTTTTTTTTTAAGATTCAGTTTATTTATTTGACAGAGGCAGGCACAGCGAGAGTGGGAACACAAGCAGGGGTAGTGGGAGAGGGAGAAGCAGGCTTCCCGCATAGCAGGGAGCCTGACACGGGGCTCGATCCCAGGACTCTGGGATCGTGACCTGAGCCGAAGGCAGACGCTTAACAACTGAGCCACCTAGGCGCCCCTAAATAGGGGTGCCTTTAAAAAGTTAAAAATATATTTAACTTTTTAAGTTAAATTTTTAAACCGACTGGTTGCTCAGTCGGTTAAGCGTCTGCCTTCGGCTCAGGTCATGATCTCAGGGTCCTGAGATTGAGTTCGAGTTATGCTCCCTGCTTGACGGGGAGTCTGCTTCTCCCTCTCCTTCTGCCTCTTCCTCTCCCTCTGCTGCTCCTGTTTGTGTTCTCTCACTGTTTGTGTTCTCTCACTCTCTCTGTCAAGTAAATGAATAAAAAATATTAAAATATATATATATTTTAAAATATATAACACGTTTACATAATTTAGAAGCCAAAATTATGTGAATATGTAAAATAAAAAGTTGCACTCCCATTCTGGTCTCTTTTTAACTTCTTCCTCCTCAATAGAAGTAGTTTTATTAGTTTCTTTTTCATCTTCACAATGTGTGTTAATGCACTTGCAAACATATATTTTCTCATTTTTACCTTTTTTCAAAAAAAAATTGGTAGTATGTATCTGCCTTATTCTATATTTTGCTTTTAACATGTCTTGGAGATCTCATTATGGTAGTATGTACACATCTTCTTCATTATTTTTTACAGCTCCATGGTATTGCATTGTGTGGATGTACTATGATTTTTTTTTTTACAATGAATTTTTTTTTAAAGATTATTTTTAAAAGATCATTGTGAAAGAGAGAGAGAGAGCACACATGTGCAAGCAGGGCGTGGGGCAGAAGAAGCAGTTTCCCCCCTGGGCTAAATTCCATGATCCCAGGATCGTGACCTTAGCTAAAGGCAGACTGAGCCACCCACGCACCCCACCATGATTTATCTAATCAGTCCCCTATTGATGGATACTTGAGTTGTTTCTAGTCTTTTATCATTATAAATAGCAACATAATAAATAATGTCATACATATTTTGTTGATTCTGAAATGTACTTTTTTTTACATTTTAACATCTTTTACTTTGAGGGATAATTTATAATTGATGGCTTATTACAGTTTAATTGGCAGTAGTATTTCATATATCTGTAGGTACCTCTGATACAGAGTCCCAGCAGAGGGATCCATAGGTCAAGGGAAAATACATCTGTAGTTTCAATAGATAGACAACATGCATTTTAATCTTACGTAGCCTTAAGCATTCATCTTAAATGGCCACTTTGGTCATTTTATCCTGAAGTGTTCCTACTGATCTATAAAAAGATACCATGTGATACAATCCTCCTTGATTTTTTTTTTTCCTTTTTCATTATGTGGTGATTATTACATGTTTATTGAATACTTATTTTGTGGGAAGTTCTTAGGTAGTGGCCTTTTAAAATGTGTAATATAATTGCGTCTGCATATTTCCCTAATATTAATTTAGAAATGATGAAAAGTCTTTTTTGTTATATCAGTGTTCATTATGAATGTCTTATTTCTGGTGTAAGGGTTTCAGGGGTATATGTTTTGGTGGAAGTTTATAGATTGAGATGTCTTTAGAATAAAATTTGTTACCTTCTCAAGTTTTTCTCTCTCCCATTCCATTCAGGTCAAAATGTGGAGAAAGAGATGAATTATCCCCGAAGAGAATTAAAGTGGAGGTAAGATTATGCATGTTTTCTTATGCTAATAATATTTGCTAGTTCAAACTGAAAAAAAGGATGTTCCATAAACAAATGAAAAATGTGAATGAATTGTGGAATCTTTAAGACAATATAGAATTTTATTGCTTTGAAGCATCTAATTTGAACTAGAATACTAAAGAAATTCTTAGAAGAAACAACAATAATGAACTTGATGTCCAGTCAGTTTATCACAGGTTGATTTGTCAATAGGTGTTTCTTACAGATTTAAAACTCTCCTGGTTAAATGATTTTTTTCAATAATCTTATGTATAAGTCATCTTATCAAATACATTTATTTTTTTAAAATTTATTTTATTATGTTACGTTAATCACCATATATTATATCATTAGTTTTTGATGTAGTGTTCCATGATTCATTGTTTGCGTATAACACCCAGTGTTCCATTCAGTACGTGCCCTCTTTAATACCCATCACCAGGCTAACCCATCCCCCCACCCCCTCCCCTCTAGAACCCTCAGGTTTTTTTTGTTTTTGTTTTTGTTTTAAAGATTTTATTTATTTATTTGACAGAGAGAGACACAGCCAGAGAGGGAACACAAGCAGGGGGAGTGGGAGGGAGAAGCAGGCTTCCCGCGGAGCAGGGAACCCGATATGGGGCTTGATCCCAGGATGCTAGGATCATGACCTGACCTGAAGGCAGACGCCTAACGACTGAGCCACCCAGGCGCCCCAGAACTCTCAGTTTGTTTCTCAGAGTCCATAGTCTCTCGTGGTTCATCTCCCCCTCCGATTATTAAATACATTTAGAGGAGCTAAAGGTTATACTCAACAATCTGAGAGAAATGTTAATTTAGTAGCTCCAAGTAATGGAGACTTTCCTATAATCAAGCCTCTTTTAGAGGATCATGATGAGACTGTCCTTTTTTTTTTTTAAGATTTATTTATTTGAGGGAGAGAGTGAGTGAGCAGGGGGAGGGGCAGATTGAGAGGGAGACAAGCAGACTCCCCACTGAGCTGGGAGCCTGACGCAGGGCTCAATCCCAGGACCCTGAGACTATGACCTGAGCCGAAATCAAGAGTCTGATGGTTTAACTGACTGAGCCACCCACGTGTCCCGAGGTTGTCCTTCTGATTTTAGGCCTGCAAGAGGTAAGGTGGGAGTTGAGCAAGAAAAAAAAATACACTTTTCTTAGGGTTGTCAGAACTATAGAATGGTTTCAAAACTACTGTTCCTTAATTTGGATTGAATGTTTTAAAGGCCAGTCTGCAGCAGAGTAGAAATTTGAAGTCTGAGAGCTCCTTACTTTTTTTTCTTGGGCAGGGGATGGGGTTCTGTACTCTCTCAGACATCTATTATTTAATTGCAAGTTAAAGCAGATAAGCTGTGTTTGACTACCCTAAATTCTTCTCATTATTTTAACTAAGTATCTGTTTGTATATAGTCTTTCAGTCACACCAAAGCTACAATTATCTTTTTTTTTTAAAGATTTTATTTTTGAGAGAGTGTGCGTATATGCGCGCGTGCGCATACACAGAGACAGGGTCGGGGGCGGGGAGGAGGGAGAAGCAGACTCCCTGCTGAGCAGGGAGCCCCACGCAGGACTCAGTCCCAGGACCCTGGGTTCATGACCCAAGCTGAAGGCAGACACCTAACCAACTGAGCCACCCAGGCATCCCCACTATTATCTTGTAAAAACGTAAATCCCTTTCTCACTTTCTCACTTAAAATCTTTCCAATGGCCTTCTACTGTACCTAGGATAAAATCTACACTTGTAGAGATGTCTAAGACCCTACGTGATCTGACTCTAACTTTGTATCTCTAACCTCATCTGCTACCACACTTCCCCATTCTTACTGTGTCCTAGCTACACTGACCCACTTTCTGTTGCTGGAACGTGCTAAACTCTTTTTGCCTCAGCACTCACTGTTCCCCTACCTAGATCTTTCTGTAGCTCTTCACATGGCTTCAGCTCATGGCTGAGAGTTTCCTCTGACTTCCCTGCCTCCCTTTCTAAAAGGGCACCCTTACCTCAAAATCACATTTAGGCTCATTCTCCTGGTTTGTTTTGTTTGTTTTCATAGCACTTACTGGTATCTGAAACTATTACGTATTTGTTTTTATTATCAGTCTGCCCCATTGGATGAGCATACAGCTCTTATCTGTCTGTCTACTACTTTATATTCAGATTTGATAATAGCGCCTTGCACTTAATAGGCACTTAATAAGATCAGGTGAAAGAGTGAATGGCTATGGTTAAGCATCTTTGACTTCTTAAAAACTTTACCCTAAAGCAGTGGCTCTCAAAGAAGAGAAGAATTTCTCTTAATCTCTTAAAGGCCACACTTTAAAAAATTGTGCTTATATTTGTAATCAGTGGTCACTGTTAGCTCTCGAGTAATGTTTAAGATTCGTTAGCATCAGATACCACGCAAAAAAAAATTGCTGAAATTACCTAAAAGGCCATTAGAAGATAATCTAACTAGTGATGACATAGTTTTATCCTATTGCATCCCAAGATAATGAACAAGAGAGGATCCCTGTAGATTCAGTGACTCTGCCACTGAAAGGGAAGGCAGGTGAACATAGAGACTGCTAAGAAGGCATGTGCCATCAGAAGATTTAGAGGAAAGAAGGTACAAAACCTGCCCAGGGACCAGGAAGAGTAGTCAGCTGCTGGGCTAGAAATTCTGTCTGCCTCTTTCTCACTGTTGGTCCTCTATGTAATTCTGACTCGGGCTCTTCTCACATTTGAGCCCTGGTTTCCTTTTGTGTCTGTGTTCAGAGATCACATTTAAGTTTGAGATCTGTTTGAGCTGTCATTTTTTCCTTGTTAGGCTATAGTGATAAGTCTTTCTGACCTCCTCGGTGGCCCTTACCTGAAATTTAAGCAAAGTGTTTTTGTATCCAGCGCAGTGTTTCGAGTTTCCTTTTAGTAGCTCAGAGTGTTGGGTTTATAGCATTAGGTGTGACCCTTCTATTCATTTAAATATGTTCCACTAGAGATAATTGAATGATAGTTCTGTTTGGTTAGTTTATTGTTTTCCTAGCATTCACAAAGCCACTTGAATAGTTCTGGACTTAGAATTAAGATAATCAGTGTTTCCTTTTTCTGTGAATAACAGTTCTAACCCTTCCTAAATAAGACAAGTGACTCATCAACCCAGGCTACTTTAAATGCTCTTTATGGACTCTAAAGTCTTGATTTTGTTTCCCAAAAACAAATAGGGACTTGAGCTTTTAATTTAGGACAGTAGTTTACTTATTTTGCTGGTTTGTTTTAAATTTTGTTTTGTTCTTTAAAAGCACTGATGCATTGCAAGGCAACAGTATCTCTCCAGAGTATGTGTGTACCTACACATGGATCCAGTGTAATCCTTTGCAAAATATACAGTATTGGCATCAATCCTTGTCTAAATTCTCTGTGTACTCTAATTCAGATTTGAGATACCACAGCTACTTGTTTGATTCCGGAAGCTGACACTGAGGTAGTTTGTGTTGTGTAGGATTGTTACTCCCTTACATTTCATCAAGTATTAGTGTGTTGTTTGTACCTACTTGCTATGTGGCTTCCAGCGAGGGTGAGAATTCCTGGCGCAAGAAGAGATTAAGGGAGGCTCCGTTGAGGAGATATTGTTTGAGCTGGGTTTTAAAAGAAAGGTAGGGTTTCAGAAGGTAAAGATGTGGGGTGGAGGGGCATTACAAAGATGGACTAGCATGGGCAAAGACAGAGGAAAGAAAATACTGTGCATGTTTAGAGAACAGTGAGACCAATTTGTTCAGAATTTATGACTGACACCAAGGACTTCATAAGTAAAACTAGAAAGATTTTAGAATTCTTTGAACATACTGTTTCTTATTTCATTTGAATTACTAATTCTCTATTAAAAGAAAATGCTATAAAGATAAGCTTAGCACATTATAAATTATAGCAGATTACTAATTACTGGGCCCAAGTTAATGAGAATTTTTTCTTTCATTTTCATTTTTCTAAAATCCTTGACAATAACCAATTAGCATACGTGCCAAGTTGCTGTTTTTCATCTTAAAAAGATTGCAGTGAACGAAATGTAATGTCCAGTAGATAGAGTGGAAGTGACATCAAAAATAGACTTGTAAGGGAAAGAAACATTTTCTTGCATGCCATTACCAGTGCATTAGGACACACTGACAAAACTAGCACTTTGTTCAAGCTCAGTAAGGTGTTTTCTTGTTGCCAAATGCTGTAATTTCCTGGTCTGTTTGTGAGGGGTTGGGTAAAAGTTTTAAAATCCTTGTCTAATTTTTTTCCTCTTATTATGTAGCAGGTTGTTCCCCTTAAAGGATAGTTAGCTATTTATTTGATTGCTTTTGTTTTTGTTGTTATTGTTTAATATAGGATACGTATTGTAGTGAAGTACTCAGGATAATCTGTTGTTCTTAAATAGTGCCCCTTCCTACAGCGAATGTTAGACATTAGGAAACAGAGATTTTGACCTTTCTATAATTCCGAGAATAATGAAGTAGACACAGAGGAAAAAGCCTGCTAGCTTGGGAAGGCCGTAGGGTAACCCATCACTTGGAACGAAGCCTCTAGGGAAGGCGCCTCTTCAGCCCTGAATGTTAGTATGCGAGGTTTGGGAATATTTCTCTTGTCCGGGCTGGATGAATAGCTTGTCCACCTGGAATACAACCGTTTGTGTGGATCCACTTTCAGCGAAAATGAAAATGAATTATGTTTGTTGTTTTCTTTTTCATCAGAGACCTCAAATCTAGCTCTGGGACACTTGCAAAAATAACTTTTTTATTGAATCTGTTAATGCCTATCCCTGCTAGGCGTTTGAAATTCATTATCACAAACCTTGTTTATCCTTATATGGAGGCTTTAGGATTTCCATTTATAGCCAGAGAGACACCCAGAGAGTCTCAGTGACTGGCTCAAACTGCCACATTGCTCTCTGGTGCCAGAACCAGGCCTTCAGATCTAGGTCTGACTCCTAAACTGCAAAGCAGTACCACCTTCCCCCTTCCTGATG